TATTTTTCCATTTTGGAATCACATCTTAAATTTTCTTTAATTTTTTTTTTTTGCTTGCCTTTTTTTTACTTTATCTTTGGTGAGTTGAGTTTCAGAAATTTAGTGCATACATACATACATACAATATAAGGTGTACCTTATACATTAATTTTTATTTTCTTTTTATCTCTATTATCATTATTATTGTTATTTTGTTGTTATTTGCTATAGAAGAAGTGGAAAACCTATAAATGAATTATGACTTGAATAAAATTTTATTTTACAATATTAAGAGCTTTACAATAATAATAAGAAATCATTTTGCTATTATAAAATTACTGGTAACCATATTGTTGTTCTTATTATTGTTATTATTTTTATAGAAGAAAAAATAATTTTGGGATTTAATTTTGGCATTTCATTTTGACTTCACATATTCTCTTAAAGTTTTATAATATTATATTGTTCTTTTGTACCGAAAAATTAAATAAAATTACAGAGAGGTAAAATATGATAAACACAAAAATCATAAGGAGAATATAGATTTTCAACACAAAAAAAAAATAATGAAACAAAGAAAAAACCAATTTTTTCTTATTTTGAATTGAAATTAAATAGATTTCTTTTGTTTTTAAAGAAAATTCTCTGGTCTCTTTGTAGTTAAAATTAAAATAATTTTTTTTCAAAATTTTCATTTTTTCATATATGGTTTCTGTGCTCTTTGTTTTCCTTGAGTAATACAGTTGAATTTCGGTAAAAGAGAAAAATGTTTATAACATACCTTTTACGAGAAACAAATATTCTCTTACGAGATAAGATAACGGGATAAATCTAATGACTTTATTGTTGGAACAAATATTTTTTGACCCCTTGGAACTTTTCTTTATCTAGGTTCAACTGTATATATTAGAATATGTACATAAGTCTATTATAAGGAAAAAAATAAAACAAAAAAAAAATTATTTTTATTTTATACATACAATAGTTGTACCATTTCACGTTTTTCTACAAATGTTTTCTCTAAGGCGCGTAATCCAAGAAGACAAGACTTTGAAACAAATAAAAATATAAAATGAAAAAATAATAAGACAAAACAGGTTTTTGCCTAGAAAATTTTTTTTGATATTTTTCTGTTGTTTTTCCTTTTGCTTACACACATACAAATTATCGTATACTTCATTCGTTTTGATAAAATAAATTTTCATCATAATTTTCTATTCTTCTTCTTAAAGTGTGTGATATGTGCGTTCGTACAAACATACATACATACATATATGTATAATATATTATTTAGGTTATTTTTTTTTCAGCAAAAATATACTACTCCCATGAGATATCATGGAATTTTTATAAAAAAAAAAATTTTTTTTTGGTCTATCTTTTCCATTTTATATAAAATATTTGTATAGCATATGCCCAACTATATATGTATATAAAGTAGGTTTTTCTATATATATATATATATGTATATGTATATATGCATGTATTTATTACTGTTTCAAAAACATTATTTTCATTCTTTTCTTTTTATTTTTGATGAAACATGTTTAGAATTTTCAAAAAAAAAAAAATTTTCTTTTTTTTTTTCGGAATCAAATAAAATTTATCGAAGAATAAAAGTTATATCGCTTTAGGTTTTTTGAACATTAATAAGGATTTATTTCTTGAATGAGAAAGAAAAATAGAATTTTTTTCTTTTCTTTTGGGTTTTTATTTCTTTTCATCTTCTTGTTTTCAGTTTTAATTTTTTTTTTTTTAATAAAATTGATTGATTTAAATTATTTACATTTTCCAAAAATGGTATTTGTTTGTTTACTTATTTATTTATTTATTTATTTGCTTGACGCTTGTATAAGTGCCTTCTTGTCGTTAGCGTAAAGATAAATTAGCAGTATGGTAGCAAAGCAGTAATACCAGTATAACAAACAAGAATATTGTGGGAACAGTAATAATAATATCGAAAATGAAGAAAGACAGAGAGAGAGAGAGAAAATTATAACATGTATGCTTTGTTTTAGTAACATGCAAAGTATGATATGAAATAGAAGTATAATGACCGGAGCCATTTTCAATGCCAAATAAAGAAAAATAAATTTTAATTTTGCATTTAGCCTTTTTAAAAATTACACCAAATCCATTTTTATAGAGTATAATAGAGTATAATAGAGTGTTTTAAAGAGCATTGAAATAAACATTGTAGCTGCTTCAAGTTTATACACAAATAGAAAAACACTTGACGCGATAAGTTGTCAAAAAGAAAACTACAAGCAAATTGCATTGTGATTTAATTGTTTTTAATATTGAAACCTGAGATATTGAAGGTACATCAAAATTGAATACAATAATTTTATCATGTTACTTGGGAGCCGCTGTTTCGTTATACACATGTGGACAACAAAACAATGTTTTCAATATGATATAATTTGTAATTCATTAGATCCGTTTTATTCAGCAGTTATAATTAATTCGATTTTTGTTAATTTAATTCTTATTAATTATTATCTTTACATTGAAATTGCTTTGTTAATTTGTTTAAGGTGGTTTAATTTATGTACATATTATGTATACTCGTATGTTATACATGAAAGAAAATGGAAAAGTTTGGCATAAAATACCATTGTGTTTTGAGTAATCTAGCACAATTTATTCGACCAAATATCCCAATACTGATAATAACAGAACACAACAATGTAACAACAAATAACAATAAAGAGAATAAAGAGAAGAGAAACAAAAAAAAACAGAAGAGATATATAAAATACGATTTTCATCAGTAATGCCGAAGGTTGTTAGAATTAGGGATCATTTTATTCTTCATACATGATTTTTTTTTGTCTTTTTTTTCACATTACATTTTTCTTCTCCTATTTTTCTTTTTATTTACTGGGAATATAGTCTTACTTTTCCATCTAAATCAAAAATACTTTTATATTATAAATATGTTGAAGTAAGTATCTAGTTGATTTATCAAATTATGTTGGAAAAACAAAAACCAAAAAAAAAACAGGATTTTTTTTTTTAAATTATTTTAGTATTTAAGAAAATATTTTGTAAAGTGATTTTTAGAACGTTTCAAATTTATATTATTATGCTTAATATATAAAAAAAAAATTTAATGTTAATGCAAAAGAATAAAACCATTCCTAGCATCCTAGCAGTATTATAAGTATATATATATATATATATATGTGTAAGTAAAGACACAAGGATACAAGTAATGTGCATAATATATGAAATATGTGAAAATTTCACTTGTGAATACTACATGTACGTAGCTAGTACATATACTTTTCCTGAAATCGAAAAATGAAGAATACAATTGAGTTTTTAGCATAGAATATACAAAAAAGGTATTGTATGTACATATTTATGTGCACACATAAATAAATATAGATGTATACATACATATTATTATAACTTTTTTTTTTGATTGAAAGAAAATGATTTACTGATGACATGAGTAATGATGGTTTTTAAATTGGGTTTTCTTTTCCGTTTTATATACGATTCCTGTTTTTTTTTTCTTCCTTTTGTACAAAATATTATTGGAATAAAAATAAATTTAAAAAATTATTTTCATAGAATTGAAAATGAAGAAAAAAATTCAATTTTTTTTTTTTGTAAGATACTATCGCAAATACGTACATATTATATATAAGTATACTAACTTTTGCACAAAAAATAAAGAGAAGTTAATTGAATTAAATCAAATGATACAAAAAAAAAGGAAAAGTTATTTTTATAGAATTTTTTTATTATTTTATATTTTCCTCATACCTTCATCACAAACAAAAAAATGAACAAGAAAAAATACAAATTGTTTTAAATTTTTGATAAACTGGTAACCATTTTAAATTACAAATATTTATGTGCGACAGGATCTTACTTTACGTAGAATAATATAGGGGGAATCGACGTAAAATAATAAAATGTCATTTGAACTTTTTATATCACTGTTTTTCTGTCATATTCAAAATAAACAGAAGAAAAATTTGGGCAAAAAATATATAAATTCAAATTTTCATAATTTTGTGAATTAAAATGAGAAATCAAATTTTTTTTTCAATAATTAATTAAAAATAAATTTCAACACTATCTTAAAGGCTAACAGAATATTAAAGACGAATCACTTCCAATTTTACTCTCTTAAACTTTTATGTTCAATTGTGTACACAAATAACATATTTCCCAAGAAACTGATCTAATTTAACCCTTTGTTGCCGGAGAATAGAAATAGGCGAAATCTGTTGTTCAATTGTTTTTGTTTTTTAATAAATGGAAACTATAGTTTCATGAAAAACAAAATTTTTTGGATTCGGTTGCTGGGTCTGAATTTAGGAACTCGATGTCATAAGGTTCCTACGTCTATAATTAGAAGTAAGTGAGAGTATAAATGCAAAATAGGGAAGTTAGAACATATATCGTAATTCTTTATTTGTAAACCAGTTGTTTTTATTTTTTCCTCAAAATACTAAAAACAAAATACATAAAACTTTAAGTTATAAAAATTAGACAAAAAAAAATTAACAAAATTAACTTGGAGCTTTTTTTTTCTCGTTTCACAACACAGATCGGTTATACACTTACTCTCAATACGACTTTCAAAATTAAATGAAACAAAAAAACGATAAAATATAACCGATAAACATATCGTTTATATTTTAACAATAAAACATATACGATAAAATGAAATACTATAAAGTATCAACAGCTTAAAATTAAAATTTTAGGTATATTTACGATTTTTAAATGATTTAAAGTTGGTATTGCTTGAGAGTAGAGTCGGACAACAAAAGGTTAAACCCATTTACAAAAAAAAAAATATTTCTTGTGATCAACACATAACCGACCGGAATGATTATTGTTAATTTAGTGAAAGTGTTGTAGGAGATTATGAAAATGTGTTTTAAACACTGCTTTACAATTTTAAGGACTGTAATAAACTTTTAGTTAACATTTTCTGCAAAGTTTATCAGTTATCTCCGGTAGCAAATATCAACAATTACTTACATAGATACAATATGGCATCAATTGCTTACGTAGATACTATAAAAAAATCGACTTCCACCTCTGTTTCCGAACCCTGATCTTTCTAAAAAATTTATATGTTTATTGTTTTAACATATCAAATTTTAATATTAAATTTCAAGGAAATTCGTTGTTTATTTCTCTCGGCTCGCAAAAAAGTACAGTTAACGTGGCGTTACATATCCCAAAAGTTGATCAATCCGTGACATAGCCAAAATATACACTCGTATATAAAATTTCATTAAAATCAGTTAAGCCAAATGAGATATACACGTGTACACAGATAAACCGACAGACCGATTACCTTTTATAAATATTTTATTTACGCTTCTCTACTATGTGAAACTACTATGTTCAGTATGGAAATCCAATTCTTTCCCACTGAAAACTCGACATCCGAAATTTATTGCCATCACATAACCTCCTTTAATGTTCGCAATGCTGTCGCTGAATTTTTAATTCAATTTTAAACTAACTTTTTCTTTTATTTTTAAATAAGAGTAGCTATAATTTTTCAGATATATTTTCATTTTTATTATTCAACCTCAATCTATTGTATTTAAAGTACATTGTATTTTATAAATGAAAGAAATACCATATTTGATCATATTATTGAAAATCCTTGAATATTATTCTCAAATAAATAATATTAAATTTTTTTTTTTGTGTATTTGCGCCTGTTAATTTTCTGACATCGTCAATAGCTTTCGTATCTACATAAATAAATAATTTTAGGAACGTGTCTTTACTCACTTCATAAACAAATTTCACTGCCAAATGTATAATATAGTCTTTGCTTATACACATGGGTAAACATTCGTATATAATATTTTATTTAAATACTTAATAAACAAAAAAAGACGACAAATTTTTTTTTTTAATAACAGAAAATTTTTCACAACAGTAAAATTTTATTTTCATGTAATTCCAGGAATTTTTTTTTTTTCCTTTCTGCATTCATCTTTCGAATGAATGATTTTGAAAAAAAAAAAGTAAATTTAAAATTTACAACTCTTACTTTAAAAAAAAAATTAAATTGGAATTTCAAGAAAAAAGATGAGCCAATCAAAAAATATTATTTAAAATTTTACAAATATTTTTAATTGTTGGAAAAATTTAAGGTTGAAAACATTAATGGAATAATATTGCCTTAAATAATTAATTTTTAACTATTTTTTTTTTCTATCTTAAGAAATTTTATTTAAATATTGTTAATGAAATTTTTTAACAATGAATTTTTATTTTTTTGTTATTTTCAGACAATCATTCGCGAAATGAATCGTTTGGGTATGATAGTTGATTTATCGCATGTATCAACAGGTACAATGCGTGATGCTTTATCTACAACTGAAGCACCTGTGATATTTTCTCACTCATCGGCATATGAATTATGTAATTCAAGTCGTAATGTTAAAGATGATGTTTTGCTATCATTAGCTAAAAATGGTGGAATAGTTATGGTTAATTTTTATTCAAAATTTTTATCATGTAATGAAAATTCAACTGTACATGATGCTGTCGGTAAGTTATTAAAAAATTTTTATTTTTAAAAATTTAAATTAAAAAAATTAAAATGAAAAATTTATGTAATTTCCTCTTTTATTTCAATTTCATTTTGTTTTTCAAACTTTTATTTCACATTTTATTTTAAAAATTCATCCTATTACATTTTTATAACAGTTGCATTGAACTAAAGAGGAACTGAACAGTTGAAGAGGAACTGAATAAATTTTGTTATATAGAAAAAACAATATCAAAAATTTTTTTTATTTAAATATTTTCACTGGATTGTTAATGCTATTTGAATCTATTCCAAAATAAAAAAAAAATTGCTTTTGAATGAATCGTAATGAACTACAATTGAATTTAACTAGAATTTGATGACTATTAAGACGGCGAGATTAGGTAACAAGTAGTGCATAACACCATTATCGTTCAGAAATTCACTGTCACTTCACAAAACCAAGAGTTATATAATAAAGTATACTCAAGAAAAGATCCAAGATTCAATTCATCACTTTTGATATAATGTCTGCTGTATATAGAAGGAAGTGTAATTAGATTAAATTTTCTACACAGTTAACAAAATGTATAAACTTTTGTAGATTAAAAAATTATTTCACTCATTTTTCGTATGAAAAGTTTCACTTTTAAAATTTTTTAGCCCACACAATTTTTATCATCTTCTATTTTGAGAGCGTTTTTCAGATACTAGAAACTTCAGAAAAATATTTATAAAAAGGCTATCAGTTAAGTTGGAAATGGTATATAAAATCATCAGTTGATTTAGGAATGGTTATATAAGATTTTAGAAAATTAATAGAATTTTCAAAAATTCTTGCGATAATCTCAAAACAATAATCTAGAAAAAGCACATATTTTTCCGATTTCAAAGGAACGTTTTTCGTGGGTTGAAAGAATTTTTATGATAAAAACTTCTTGTTAGAAAAAATAAATTACTTATTCATTGACTTATATTTTTTTTTAATTTCGTAGCCGATCCGACAGAGAAAATAAAATGAAAGTTAGAAATAAATTTTTAATAAATGTTTTTCTCTCTTTTCAAAATAATTTGAGTAGCAAACATCAAGATAAATTTAAGAGTTTTATGTTGCATGTAAGTGCTACAATTAAATGCTATTTTAATACAGACATAAATATTTTTACATTCATACATGATTCTTACAAAAAAAAAAATATTTTAATGAAAATATTAAAATTTTGGTATCATCAAAAGTTTCTCAAAAAAATTTTTTCATAACAAGCAAAAAAAAATGGTAATGAGACATGTAAGAATGAAAAAATTCATACCTGTAACCCTTAAAAGAATGTACAGAAACAGAAGAGAGAGAGAAGAAAAAAGAATTTCATGTATAAAAATAAAATTGTTAAACCAGCCACAAACCCGAACTCAAAAACTTTTTTTTTCATGAGTAATTTCTAAATTAAATTTTATATTGCATTTATGATTTTGATACAGAAAATTCCTTACGTTCTAAAATTAAAAATTTCTTATTTAAGCACTCTTTCTCATATTTGGTACATCTAACTTTTAAAATTATTTATAACATTAAACTTCTTTATTTAAAATAATTTCTTTTAAGGCAAACTATATGAATTTTAAGAATTTCGAATCGTTATGAAAAATTTTTAAAATTAATATTAAAAGATTTTTATATTATTTTTAGCAAAAATGTCCTCCAAAAAAAAGAACAAAGCAAATTTAACAAATTTTCATTTTATTTACTTGAAAATTATTCGATAATCTACATCAGGGATGGCGAACCTAAAGCACGCGTGCCCAAGGTGGCCCTCGTCACTACTTTGGATGGCACGCGCTAATAAATACTTTAGTGCATAAATTTTTAATATTTCCGATATTATATTTGCTAAAAATTGTTTCCAAAAATTTTTTAAGCGAAGCCTGTGAAGCTTTTTTTTTTTAAAAAACAACTAATTATCATCCTAATATTGATGACTTATCGGCAGCAATTCAACAACAAAAATCTCATTAATTCTATATTTATAATGTATGTATAAATAAGATTATGGCAGTTATAAATAAATCGACATATTTGTGTAAAAGACAAATATAATATTTTGTTTATTTTAAGGCACGCGAGTATTTTCATTTTTCTAATAATTATTTTTGGCACGCAGTCCGATAAAGGTTTGCTATCCCTGATCTACATCATACCTCATTTTTCAATAAACGCACAATAAAATAATATTCGTTTCATCTAAAATAAATTTTAAACATTGTGAAATAAATACATATATGCATAGTATATTGTACACTGTATAAGATATTATGCATACTTAACAGCTAAAATAAATTATTTGTAACAGTTTGGAAGGAATTTTATAGTTTATACTCGACTAATTTTACAAGAATTGAACTATTTTGCTACTATTATTGAATGAATTCAAATTGCTTCATATATTTAAATAATTTTATACAAACACTTTTTGTAATATAAGATTAGGTATATAACAAATAGAAGTTCAATGAAAACGAAAACCAATCGACTATTTAAATTAAAATTCTGATGTGATTAACACAATAATTGAAAAATCTCAATTGATTTATTCTTATTAGTCTGAAGAAAGATTTATAAATGGCTATGAAAATTTCCGTATTGAATATTTACTTAAAATTTTACAAAAATGTGTAGCCATTCGGCTATTGTGTATAAATTTAGTTTTTAGTAAATATAAACTTTCTGGAGTCCAATCTTTTTGAAAATGTTGTTGACAAATGGAACAGAAATCTTAAATTTTAAAAAATTTGCCTCATGGTATTTTATTAAATATGGTCAAAAATCTAAAATTCGTCGGTATACTTAATTCCTAGTGCCTGAGCTATAATATATTCGAAAAATTTATTAGTTCATTCTGTGTAAGTTCATTCTATGTTAGTTTAGACAATATTGTTATTGATTAGTTCAATAACTATATTGTCTAAACATAAAATTCCAAGAGAACTCCAGATTTTCTCACTACTCTACGCAGCTATATAATAAAGATACTATGCTTCAAAGATCTGGCATACAGAAAACAATGAATCAATCAATCGCATCCCCAACGTAAACTCAAATATTTATATAAATCTTCATTAAAATCAGTTCAGTTGAAATTGAATTGTATGCAACGTGGTCAGTTTAAAGAGGTACTTATCGCTGTTCAATCCAAAATAGCAGGCTCTAAATATATTGTTTTTTATTTCTTCAACTTTTTTAAGTCATGAATAAATAACACATTCGTATGCTGTAATACAATTATATTTTAATGCGATAAGCAGCACCATTTAAAATATTTTCAAACTTTTTCCACAATTTCCTTTCCTTTTCCCTTTTTCCTTTAATACAATTAAAATGTTTCATATTTTAATTTTAACAATTACAAAGAACTTTTACAATGGTACATATTTTATGTAGACTACCAATTTTTTTTGTTTTTACAACTTATTTCTCATTAAAAATAAAATTAATTAAAATTTAATTTGTTTCATAAAAAAAAAATACGAGAAGTTTACTTCAGAATTTAATCATCATGTATTCATCAAGAATATGTCATAAAAAAAATTTCTTAATATGGTTAAAGGCATAATTGTGTGATAGAGGAGCAAAAAAATATGACAAATAATTTCAATTTAACCCTTTTTTTTTTCTTCTGTCAAACTATAGTATCTTATAGATGTGCAGTTTAACGAATTTTATTTGTACATAATGTAGTGGTATACGTAGCTGATTTTTGACATATAAAATATAGCTGGATCTTATGACTACATTTTCAATTGACTTGTGAGATTCTTAATGTGTACATGGCAAACACTAAAATTTACTAAAACTAGTGCTAAATATTATGGCTGTTTCATACAACAAAATATATTCATTTACAACTCTAACTGTAAAATGCTGACAATTTGGTCAAATTATATAGCTATCTTTTTCTATATGAAAAATTTCGAAATAGAATGCTTAAGTCAAATTACATATAGTGTTGACAAAAATAAATAATTGCGATAGCATTAAAATTTTATACTGCACCGGCAATAATATACGGTTCTGAGTAACGAAAACGACTTGTATTTTTTAAATAAAATAACAGAAAATGTCATTTTTTCGAACTAGCCCGATTTCTACCAGTTTTTATCATTAGCAGCACGAAAAACTATAGCAGATGTAGTATAATATTTTTTTTCAGTGTAATTATTATTGATTTAACTACCAATTTTTAGTAGCACTCAGCAATTTTCTACGCAAAGATTATAAATGCTATGTTCTTCTTCACATTTCAATTTTATTTCTAATAATATCATCCAATAATTTTCAAATAATTTTCCAATAATATCAATAAACCACTTTAATAATAATTACTATATTAAAATATAATAACCATCTTACAATCTTAAACATATAAAAATGTTCTTGAAAATCCAATAAAAATCATACTTACATTACACAATGAACTCAATTATATAATTTAATTTTTACATTATATACTTTAATAATTATATAAACCTATATATACTGCCATATTATTCAAAAACAATTAAACATTAAAAATAAAGGAACTTTTTGAACTTTAAACGGAAAATAACCGCAAACAAGTTATTTTATTTAAAATCTTAAAATATTTTTAATTATATTTAAAAATTGCAGATAAATATTTTTAAATTGTTTTTATCATAATTGTAATGGTTTTTATTGCAAAATATTGTAATTATTTTCAATTGTTTGTACATATCTTATATATATATATATATATGTATATGAAAACAAATAAAATTTTATAAACATATAAAAACCATTAAAAGAGCCATTTAACTTTTTTCTTAATAGATTTCTCAAACCTTTTTTACGTTTAATTTTTTAAGGTAACGAAAACTTTACAATATTTTCAAAAAAATAAGTAGCAACAGAATTACTACGAAAGAAGACGTTATGGTACAATATCTGTGTATACAAGAGTTGCCTGAAAAAACGTTTCAGAAATAAGAGAAAATTTCACAGTGATAA